CCCAATCCTCTGCAAAACCAGCCAGTGTTCTGAGCCACTGTGCCATCTCTCCAACCCCTTCTTCCCTCTCTCCTGTTTCTACTTCATTGTTGAACTTGCCTGGACACGCTTACTTTAATCCCCCACTCTTTCTGCTTGTAACCAGTAATTCCTATTTGCTTCTCTCTTGTTTCTCCAGTTTCACTGACGCTGCTTATTTTCCTTTGTTTGGGGAGTGTCTCGTTGATTCTTGAATGCCGCCTTTAGGACAGACGCTTAAAATCCCTTCTCTTGTTTCTGACAACTGTATCCGGTTGTATTCTCTTGGCTTCACCATCAGGGAACTGGTTTTCCTCATCTGCTTCTAACTTTGGGTGTGGTCGTGGCATGGCAGCGATTCTGATTTTTAATTTTTATGATTTGTCAAAAAGGTCGGCAGCCCTGGTCTTTTCCACCTTTTTTCTTTCCGCAGGCAAGTGCCCTGCTAGAGTTTAGCCTGACTTGGCCTGCGTATAGGCTGTGAGTTGTAGTGATACTTCATTTGTATTTTAATAAATAAAGCTTGCCTGAAGTTCAGAGAGTAAAACAGCTGCAACTTTCTGATCTTCAGGCAAACTTTATTTAATAAAATGCAAATGAAATATCTCCACAGTGGGTCCAATGGTTGTTTAACTTTCATAACTTTTTTGGTGGTGGTTTGTTTTTTCTGGATTTGTCTAATTGAGTAAAAGGAATTTTTTTTTTCTCCAGGCCAGACTGGCAGGCATGCTTTTGAAGGATCTGGACATATTGGGATGCCCTTATCTGTAGAGATGGGCACTCCAGTGTCATTGGGTAGAAGGAGAACATCTCCAATCCTTGGAGGCCAAGGGTCTTCCAAGATCAGGTTTCTTTCTAGGCCCTCCACCTGCGTTCACACCTTTATACTGTGTTAGCTGTCTGTTATTGCTGTATCAAATGACCACAGACTTATTAGATTAGAGCGATAGTTTTCTTTTACACCCTTGAAAGTGAGGATTCTGAAAAGGCTAAAAGTGATGTCTGGAGCTCTTCCTGGAGAGCCTCAGATAGCTCTGTTGTTTCATTGACTTTTCCTTTATTCACTGGCCCCTTTTATCTCCAAGGCCAACAGGGAATGGGTAAGTCTCTCCCAGGCTACACCTCTATGACCTCCTCCTCCCTGCTACCCTCTCTCACTTAGAGCCCACATGATAACACTGAGTCCATCTCATCTCCAGTCAGCAATAACAACCCAATCCGCTTGTCCTTGCCCTGTGAGCTGGTAGCTCACTATTCGAAGGCATTTTCACCCATGTTGTCTTGATAAAAACAGAATAACATAGATTGGCTAGTCTATAGTGAAGCAGATCTTGCATGATTTCCTGGTTCAGGAGCCTGGGAGTCCTAGATCAAGGGACCATCAATAGAGGAAGACATTCTTGTTGGGTGTTGTCATCGCAGAAGGCATCCAATGGGCTAAAGAGACATGAAAGGAAACCAAACTCCCTTTCATAATTAAACTTTTCCCACGATAGCAGCATTAATTGGTTTTTCCGGTCAAAGCCTTCTCGGGCTAATCACTTTCTCCCAAATACAGTTCCACTGGGGATTGAGCTTCAGAAAATTGCTTTTGGGGAAACACACTCAGACCACAGCTAAAGGTGAAGATTTGGACATGTGTAGCAGTGGGAGCATTATTCTTCCTACCTCATGTTCCTTTAAGATCTCTAGCTACCCTCCCTATGGTAACCTAGAAGCTCACTGAGTGATGTGAGTTCCAGAAGGTTAATGGCATACACAGACTGAACCACCTTGCCGTATCCTGCCATCTGTAACAAGTTCAAAGTAGCAACAGCCATTGGTGGGAAGAAAAATACAAATGTAATTTAGAGAATCTCGGAACTATAGACCTCTAATTTAATCAAAACCATCATTTAGATTCCATTCCTGTATATTAATGTACATTAAATGTAGAAATTAATTGGCTTTGTTGTGACATTTTTGCACCAGTTCCTACTGTACTTTGATCCTCTCTGTCCTCCCCATTACCCTCCTTGTCCACCTGAACACTAATCTCACTGGACCCCTTTCTCTTCTTAAATACCCACTTTTATTTAATGTCCTTTACTAAACCTCAAATTTCACAAATGTCTTTTTGAATTTGGCTTGTTTTATTTGACAATATACTTTCTTGTTCCATCCATTTTCTGAGAATAAAACACTTCATTGTTACCCATAGATGAAAAAATACACTATTGTGTATATACCACATTTTCTTTAACCATTCATCCAGTGATTGGCTGCTAAGGTTACCCCATGGCTTGTTTATTGTGAGTAGTATCTAGTGTGGCAATCAACACGGATGTTCAGAGATCCTGGTTGGTTTCTATTGCCGACGTGATGCAATCTAGAGACACCCGAGAAGCAAGACCCTCAAATGAAGAGTTGCCTCTATCCCATTAGCCTCTGGTCACATCTGTGAGGAATTACATATTACGATGGTCCATGTGGGAGGGTCTAGCTCACTATGGGTAGCGTCAAGCCCTAGGCAGGTGGCCCTGGGGTGCAGGAAAAGGAAAGGAAGCTGAGAGAGTCATGGGTTGCAAGTCAGTAAGCAGCACTCCCGAGTTCCTGCCTTGAGTTTCCCTCAGTAACAGATTGGTACCTGAAAGCGGAAAGTGGGATAAACTCTTTCCTCCCCAAGTTGGAGGCTATGATGAGCAGATTTTTCCTGTAATTATTGGCTCTTTGTGTTTCATCTTTTGAAAACTCTCTCTTTCTCTCATGGAGTGTGTGTGTGTGTGTGTGTGTGTGTGTGTGTGTGTGTGTGTGCACATGAGTGCACGTATACTCTCCAGGTCAATTTCATTAGCCTTAAAAAAAATCGCCAGGGTTGTCAATCTCAGCAGGTGCCGGGAGGAGGAAGATGAAGAGGGGAATGAGGAAAAAATGTCATTTGAGTGAAAACCATATTGAGGTCAAGCACATGGTGGAAGTCACAGTGGCAGGAGACCACATAAGGGCAGAGGAAGAGTAAGACTCGAAGTATGAGGGTTAGAAACACGCTTAGAAAAGAAATAGAATGAAGAAAAGAAGTGGACAGACTTACAAAGCTGCCATCAGTCGGTAAGCTCTGAAAATATGTATATGTAAGACATGAAAATAGAAGGAAATTATTTGGGAAGAGGGAGAGGATGGACAGGGATGGGGGATGAGGCCGGGAAGGATCATTTTGAAGTTCTGAAGAACTATGTGACATGAACCATTAAAGTGCCCTCTGTAATTTGCAAGTAAATTTCATATTTACCTATATCCAGTATTGTCTGCCCATATTTCAAAAATGAAATTACCTCATCTATTTCACCCTGTTTTACTGTGTTTGATCTAATAAATTCCTCGTAACTAGAAGTGCTGGCAAATTTTAAAGGCATTTAAAATATGCCTGGTCGATATCGGATTTGTCACAAGTTTACCCCGACTTTGGAAGCAGGCCCAGGACCTAATTTTTCCTCGCTCTTTGCAAAGGATCCATAATTCATGATTGCCGTTGACTTCAAGACAAGGTATTTAATCCTGTCAAATTCCAGCTTTGTTTGAATAAAAATGGCCCTCCTCTAATTATGGGTTTTGATAAAGCTAATTTTGGTGTGTTATCCAGTGGGTTGCCTCAGTGAAGCTGGCAACATTTCTGATACGAAGAACGGCTTAAAGATAACCAAGGGAGAGATGGGGAAAAAAACCTGCAAGTGAATTGGTGACTCAGAAACTGGAGACTTTTTTTTTTTTCAGAAGAAAAAAAAAGATACAGGGAGTGAGTTGCTTGGGCAAGAGTGTGGCACAAGTAATCAAAAAGTTGAGTGGGGACTTTATTTTGGGTCTCCAGACGGCTGTATGCGCAGCTTTTTAGGACCTAGATGCTGGACGCTTCTGTGGGTAACTAGGGAAGAAACCGGCCTATCAGGAATTCTATGACACAAGCAGAGCCTTGGTGATGTCACAAAGCCGTGGGCGGGGTTGCGCATCTGTTCCACTAAGGTGGGTTCACTATCTTCGCAGCGGCTGTGGAGGCCGGTTCAGCTCCTGAGCCCCGCGGTTGTTCAACAGCCTTTTGGCGCCTGAACGTTTCCAGAAGACGGAATCTGGACAACTAGGACATTTTCTTTTGGTAAGTATGTTTATGAAGCAACTAGGACCTCTGTAGTCCCAGAAAGTTAAGAGTTTTCCTTCAAACCTCCTGGGGGTCTACCTTGTATGTTGTTACTGGCTCCCATGTTTGATAGCTATAGGGATTGTCTAGGCCAGCCAATCTTCCGAGTTTATAATCTTTGCTAACAGTATTAAGTACATCATTCCACTAAAATGCCAAAGCTCCTTTGTCCATATGTGTTTTAGAAGACACTAATTATTTCTAAATGGCTGCTGTTGCCTAGACTAACGAGTCCTCTTGTAGCAGTGGGTCTCGCGGTACTCACTTCTGTAATGGAAAACACGGAATGGCTCTATGTAATAAACCTGGGTCTGGATCAGGAGACACAATACAGAGAGCCAGTGGACAGGAGTGCCATGACTTTGGGCAGGTGTTTGTGGGTGCAGCCACCTAGCTCATGGCTTGAGGGTGAAGGAGAGGTGTGACCATCCTTCTGGCTTCTTTGCCATTCTGTTTCGATTTGCTTACTCACTTTGTGGACAGGCGTACCTCCTCCCCTCATTGACTTTGTCAGTTCAGGGAGTAGGTTTCTTAGCAGAGGAGAATTGCCTCTGGGCAGTAGAAATGTGTCTCTGAGTCTGTTAAACTGAGCTGTAGAGAATCATTTGCTGATTTTCCTATTAACTTCTCATGACAAAATTACATTTAGATATCCAAACCTGTTTAGCGCTGCCTGCGTCATCTGCCCCAGAGTTCTCCCAGAAAAGAGCCTTGGCCTCATATCTTCCCCTTCTTGCAGGCACTCATGGTGGAGGTGACGACTTTGCATCTGGTTTAAACAGACGAGTTCTTCCAACCCAGAGAGTGGGCAGCTATGAAGCCCAAGCACAGAAAGATAGCCACAAGACAGTGGATCAGTAGTGCTGTGGCCTACCGCACTAGGTCTGCAGCCATGATTGAGATGCCTCTGAGTATGAGAGGCTGGCCACCTCTCCAGAAGAGGGACGGGTCATCTCTCCAGAAGCAAAAACCGGGCAGACCTTTAGAGGTCCTGGAGAACATTGTTGGCCACAGAATTTCTCATGGATGGAAAGAAGGCGATGAGCCAGTCACCCAGTGGGACGCCATCGTTCTAGACCAACTGCCGACAAATCCCCCCCTCTATTTGTTGAAGTACAATGGGATTGATTGTGTCTACGGATTGGAGCTTCACCACGATGAAAGGATTTTACAACTGAAGATCCTGCCTAATAAAGAGTCTTTTTCTCAGGTGACAGACACCCACCTCACAAACAGCATAGTTGGCAGAACAGTGACACATGAATTCGAGGGCACAAATGGCTCTAAGGATGAGTGGAGAGGGGTGGTCCTAAAAGAGGTGCCGATCATGAAGACCTGGTTCTACGTTACCTATGACAAAGATCCGGTCTTGTACATTTACCACCTCCTGCATGACTACATTGAAGGCAACCTCCACATCATGCCAGAGAGTCCTCCAGTAGAAGTGACGTCGGAAGTAGGCAGAGATTTCATGATAGGCAAATGCGTGCATCACAGCAAAAGCGACGGAACCATAAAGACGGGCAAAATCGTTTACCAAGTTCCCACCAAACCTTCCATGTATTTCGTCAAGTTTGAAAAAGACACCCTTATCTATGTGTTTGATGTGAGGAAGATCCAGTAAAGTGAAATTCACAAAGTGTGGAGGGGCAGACATAAAATTTTGTTTGGGGAGAATGCTCTTTTTTTTTTCAGAGATACCTAAGGTCCTCTAATAACCCCAGTATCTTTTCCAATGGAATTTGTCTTGCTCTAAAAATAAAAAAATTGTGAACATGCTGTGTTGTTTGGTAATAGAGATTGGGTGTGTCTGGTGGATGGGACATCAAAGAAGACACGTGTTGGCTCGGGCTATGAACGGTACATCTAGGGTCACAGTAGGCTCAAAACGGAACAGGACTTAGATGGTCTGGTCTGCTCAGAGAGGGAGGAACTGGAGATGGGGGTTGGGGAAGAGGACAAGATGGCTATTTAGGAAGCAGTGGAGAGGGGCAAGAAAGAGGTAGGATATCAGGGAGGGGTAAAGCTTGAGGGAGATGCGTGCGATCGGGAAAAGTGTGAGAGATAACAGTGAGGTCTTGAAATTAAGGGGAAACAGAATCAATTGATCAGGGAGGAACACATATGTAGACTCAGAAGCAGAGAAAATTCGGTTTCGTTTGATTAATGGTTATAAAGTAAGTCATCGAATCTTTTAAGAGTTACTGTTTTTATTATGTGGATGGGGCAGGGTATGTGTATGTGAGTACTGTGGCCACAAAGGCCAGAGGAGCCAGGTCCCTTAGAGTTGGAGTCATGGGTGGTTGTGAGCTGTTGGACACGGATGTAGGGAAACAAGCTTGGGTCCTCTTTGAGAACAGAAAGGGCTCCTCACCACTGAGCCATCTCTCCAGCCCCCTAAAGTCGTCATTTATATGAACCCAACATTCACAGACAGAGAAGAGAGCAGAATAAAGGTAAGAAAGATGGAATTGACGGTGATCTGGAGAGAGCTCAAGGACTCATAAAGAGGGGGGAGGGGACACTGAGGACAAAGGTAATCCAAGATCAAATGATTAAAGGAGCTCTCAAAATTTGGGGGAAGGAATGTGAAATGGGACCCAGGAAGAACAGGAAGGTTCTGGAAAGAGATGAATTTGAACCATATCCATATTGGCTTCCTTGACTCTTTAACACAGAACCTGTCTGCCACTTAAGAAGGTGGGCACGGGTTGAATGTTTCCCAAAGGACATTTTGACCAGAATAACTCAAACTAGTGAATCTAAAACTGAGTTTATATCTACAAGACTCCTGAAAATATACAAAAAAAACACCGTTTTGTATGATTACTAAAGTTAAAAAAAAAATAAAAGACAAAAGGAACGCCTGGTGAACTGCTTGATGGTGTTAAGTGGATCTGGCGTTGCCTCTCTGAGCACCATTTGCCTCGGTTACAGACTGTGATCTTCCCAAGGTCTCTGTTGGATACTCCAGAGGACCACCAAGAAGCTTCCACCCCAGGAAGTTCCGCCTCACTCCTCCCCATCTGTGTGACACTACAGTCCTTTCTGCCTATCTAGCTCCAGGCAGTTCCCTTTCACTGCACACGTGTGACCTTGCTCCCAGCAAATACTGAAGGTGCTGCCAGTGCAGATCTGCTGAGCTCTTTCCTAAACCAGTTTCCATAACTTTCAAATGCTGTCTCCTCCTGAGAAGGCCCTGTGCTGCATAGGGTCTCCCTGGGCCCACCTCTGCACCCCAAGAATGACTTTTGAGAGACAGGCTTGTCATGGCTGGGCTGGTTCACTGTTGTTTCTGCTTACCAGAATAAGTTTCCATGATGCAGGAGTGAAAAATATTTTTTTTTACTTGTTGATTTATTTTGTTATTATTTGGGAGGCTTTATTATAGAGACAAAATGTTCAGTGGAGTCACAGTTGTTCATCCCATAGCCACAAATAAAAACCAGCTAGACACTTCATTTTAATTTAAAGTAAGGGTGTGTTCATGTTATGCCTGTTATATAGTTGTCTTAGTTTGATTCTTTTCTCGCTGTGATGAACACCATGACCAAAAATAACTTGGGAAGGAAAGGGTTGATTTGGGTTACAATTTACAAGCCATCACTGAGAGAAGCCATGGCAGGAGCTTGAGGCAGTAACCAGAAAGAACCTTGCTTGTTGGCTTGTTCCCTGCCTTAGTCACTGGTCCATGACTGAGAAGAGACACCATGACCAAGACAACTATTATAAAAGAAAGCAGTTAATTGGGGGCTGGCTTACAGTTTCAGAGGTTTGGTCCATCATCATCATAGCAGGGAGCATGGTGGCATACTTGGTGCTGAAGCAATAGCCAAGAACTACATCCTGCTCCATAGACAGAAGGACTGAGGCGTGGCATGGGCTTTTGAAATCTCAAAGCCACCCCTCCATGACACACTTTCTCCAATAAAACCACACTTCCTCCTAATCCTTCTAATTTTTGAAAATACTGCCTCTCCCTGGTGACTAAATATTAAAATATAAGAGTCTATGAGGGCCCTTCTTACTCAAGCCACCACAGATACCATGGCTTACTCAGTAACTTTTCTTATACAGATCAGCCTGTCCGCCCCCCCCCCCACCATGATGGCCTCGACCATAGTGGTGGGCCCTCCTACATCAGTCATTAATCAAGAAAATGTCTCATAGACTCACTCAAAGGCCAATTTAGCAGAGGCAGATCTTCAGCTGAGGTTCCCTCTTCTCAGGAGACTCTAGATTGCCAAATTGACAAAAATCAATCAGCACAGTAATGCTTACCATCCCCCATGTCACACTTCTGCACCATCTACACACACACACACACACACACACACACACACACACACACACACTCATCTATGACTAACCCCCGTCTGTCTTTGCATAGGTCAACTTCCCTATGTGGCAGAAGTGAGGAGTAGCTACTGTCAACAACGTGAGTACCCAATGGTGTGTGATGGATAATTTCTGCACCCTTCCATCCCATTCTATGTATTCCACACTTTCGGGTGACTCCCCAACACAACTAATTCCCAGTTGGCCACTGGGAATTTAATGGGTCACAGTAGATTGCAGAACCAAGCAGACGGAACCTATTTTCTCTCCTCTCAATAGAAGACGTGGCCCTTTCCCAAAGCCAGTGGGCCTTTCCCTATCTCACACTCGGCCATGACATCCCAGAATATAGAAAGCGAGTTTTGCACAGGTTCTATGGCTCAGCTGCACAAATCTTTGTAGCTTTCACAATAGCGCTTTGTGAAACTCATCCCCTTCCGGGAGCACAACCCTCGGATATCCCAGAGAACATTCAGAACCACACACTCTCTCCATATTTGTCCCCAGTCAACTGTCCAACTGCCAGTCAACTCAATGATGACCAGTAAACCCCCACTGAGAAATCCAATACATGTGACTTGATTTTTAGGGAACAGAGTGTTCCCCCTTCATGGCTACCCTGGAGTCTGACTCATCTGTAATAAAACTCACTACTATTAAGATCAACATTACAAGAGCTATGACAAATATCAAGTCACAAAACAACCATCACAGTTGGCCAAACCTTTTCAACAGCTTTATTGAAGCATAATTTCCATACTAAAAAAAATCCATTTATTTTAAGTGTGCGATTTAATGATTTTTTAAAGCAAATTTACAGCTTCCTTCCTTTTTATGCTCATTTCCCACTAATTCATATGATATTGAAGTCTATTAAAATATAGAAGTGAAGTCAGGGGAAAGATCAGAGTGGGAGGCAACAAGGCTCTTGTCACTCAGACAACAGATATATTGGCGGAATCTTCCTGATGTAACCACTTGAAAACATTGGATCTGCTCTTAGCTTGCAGCTTTCAGACAAAAAAGCTGAAAAGATTAAGCCATGGGTCTTCCTGCATCAAGTCCAGATCTGACCTGATTTGGTCAGCATCACTAATGGCCATATTTATGTCGGTCACCCCTTTAGTACTAAAACAAAATATCTGGCAACTTAAAAAGAAAATGGACTTACTTTGGTTCACATTTTCAGAGCTTTTGGCCCATGGTTACAGGGACCATGGATGATGGAGCACACCTGCTCACTTCCTTGGCAGCCAGGAAACAAACACAGGAAGGGACCATGGAAAAGAAATACCCTCCAAAGCGGCATCCCAAATGACCAACTCCCTCAACAAGCCCCAACCTCCTAGTTTCCCCCACCTCCAAACACCATTGATTAGAACCCTCAGAGTTCAATCACTTCTCAGCCCCACCTTTGAACATTATTCCAACATGCAAACCTGTGGGGGACATTTCAAGCCCAAATCACAGCAGTCTCTGTCATGTGAAACCCACAAATGGGACCCCTCTGATCTCTGCAAGGGCCTCTCTGTCCAGCGGTTGTTAAAGGGTAGTCCCCGGGGCAACAACATCAGAACCACTCAGGACCTTTTAGAGATACAAGTTCAGGGTCTTGACTCCCATCCATGTATCAGAAACCTGTAGGGCGGGCTAGCAGGTTGGCTCAGAAGTCTCAGCTTGGCCTCACAGTATAAGGAGCTGGGAAGATTTCTAACGAACAGCTGTGTTTCCCTGCACAAAACCAAGCTGGTCAACACTCCATCATGGAGTGGGGAGGGCCTCACCATCCCTCACCCCTCGCTGAGGAGTATGGACAGTTGATGCGAGAGGGGATTTTCTTCAAAGGTGTGGCTGGTACTAGGTTGACCATGCTCCAGTGGATAGCCCAATGCCTGTGAGTTTATGAGCAACACAAATCACTCAGTGGGTTAATATGGAGTAGAGAAAAGGAGATGTGAAGTTGGGAGGGAGTAGGATGCATCTGGGAGGAGTTAGGAAGAGAAGCAGGGAGTGATGCAGTTCAAATATGTTGTAATTAATAAAAGTAGTTTTTTTGTTTTGGTTTGGTTTTGTTTTGTTTTTCGAGACAGGGTTTCTCTGTGGTTTTGGAGCCTATCCTGGAACTGGCTCTTATAGACCAGGCTGGTCTCGAACTCACGGAGATCCGCCTGCCTCTGCCTCCCAAGTGCTGGGATTAAAGGCGTGTGCCACCACCGCCCGGCTCAATAAAAGTAGTTTTTAAAATACTGCATCTGTACTGAACACACACAGATCATTTTTCTTGTC